CCAGGCCGCACCCGCCGGCCCGCGGCCGCCATCTTCTTGGCGGAGCAGGGGTGCGCGGACTCGGATCCCATCCACCGGGCTCAAAGCCGGCCCCGCCCCGTTCCCCGAGCACGGCCCGCGCGGCGCCAGCCGCCCGCCGCGCCTGGAAGCACTCACCGCGGGCCGCCAAGGTCCCGCAGCCATTTCCTGAGCCGCGGCGGGGTTAGGACGGTTAGCCGCGCGACGGGCGGAGGCCAGTGAGACGCTGTGGGCTAGAGCGGCGCCCTCGCGCGGCGGGCGGAGGCCGGCCACCGAGCTGCCGGAGCCTAGAGCGGCAGGCTGCGCCGCCAGCGGAGGGGGCTGGGACAGACGGCCGTCGACGCGCAGCCGTACCCCCGCCTGCGCGCATGCTCCCGCCGCCCACACCTGCGCCTGGACACACTGCCAGAGTCCGCTTTGCCCTACACTTAAACCTGATTGCTTCCCGTACGCGGGGAAGGATTCCCGACGGTAGAGGTTAATGCCAGGGTGGGATTCCTCTGAACGGCCCAGACAGGGCAGACGCCCGCCGGGGGCCGCTGCAGGGATTGCCCGCTGGCCTTGCTTCACGGCTAGACGCTTGGCCCGGGTGGGGACACTGCGCCGGAATCAGGAACAAGGAGCACCAGAAGAAACGGCTTGCGTTCCCTTCTGTAGGCGGCACTTTTCACTCCCTTTCATTCCCCTGTGGCTGCAGTCCGGCATACGCGGAGCGGCGAGGAGGGTCCAGCCATCAAGGTTCCCTCTAGACTTCCTCTAGACTTATAATGTCCCCTCCCGCTCAGAACTACCGGACGCAGTCCCCGCTACAGGCACGACGTTCCACTTGCACAGCACTATCCAGTATGACACCCCATCACCTCTGTCCCCAGATAGCTGAGGAAACATGGGGAGGGATGGCTGGTGCCTCGAGAGGTCATGGACATTGGCCACTTGCCCCGAGCCGACGGGCTTTGCCTATTCCGATGACTCCACAGGCCCCTGCTTCTACATGTGTGCACGACACGTTTCTTGGAGTCCTCTGGCCTTTGGTTTTAGCCCTTCTCCAAGAGCAAAGAGATGTCCAGTCCAAGTGTATCCAGAGGACCGCAGAGGCCTCCGACGCTTCCATGAACAGGGGACTCAGGAAGGAGTCACATCCCCAGACTACAAGGCCTGTCAGTTTCTGAGATTCAAGGAGTGTAGCTGCGGTAGGAGGCTGCTTTCCACTGCTTTTCCAGTAAGGAATTACCCTACTGGAATCTGGCAAGAGACCCCACCCCACCCCTGTACTGTCGCTCCCATACCCCCGCCCCCGTTGCGGTGGAGGGCTCTGCCCTCAGATGTGCAGTGGAGAGAGGGGGCTGAAACCAGCTTGAGCAGGCAGTGGGGTTCACACAGAAGGCAAGACTGCATAAAACAGCCCCACCCCCCCCGCAAAGGACAGTCCAAATGGAGCTGATGTGGGGGTGTCTCTGCCTAGTGCAGATTTTTCCCCCAGTACTACTGGACATTGAACACAATCCACACTTTCTAAGCAAGCACCCCACCTGGGCTACCCCCAGCCCTCAGGATCTTAAAACGAAGCTTTTTTTTTTTTTGGCGGAACCTGGGATTGCCATCAGGCCCTTGTGTTTGCCAGGGAAGCAAGCGCTTAATTCTACTGAACTATCTCCCGGCCCCCAAATGAAGCTTTTTTAATCCTGTGCTGCAGTTTCAAGCTGGGCACTGAGATAAAGGCAGCAAAGAAGCAGAAAAGGAGAGCAAGAAGGAAAGGAAGCACAGAAAACTCAGAGAAGAGACGGCAGAAAAGCAGAGACCCAGAGGCCTGCAGGCTGCAGTCCCGGACTCCATTCTGGTCGGACCCCCCGCCCCGCCCCCACTAGGCTCCTGGGGAGAGGGGAGAGGGGAGAGGCTCACCTCGGGACTGCAGGCTCACAAAGCGACAGTTCTGGTCTAGGCTCATCCCGGTTTACCTGCTGTCATCCTTCCTCCCGGGAGGGACCCTCCTAACCAAACTATTTTAAAGGTAAGCCCTAAAGGGCAAACCACCTCCAGGTGTCTCAAAAACTCCCTCAAACGCCCTAATCTACAAACAAAACCCTAGGGCGGTAGCCGCCCAGCGCCTAGGACGGGTAAAAAGAGCAGCCCACAATCCTTTAAACCCGGCTGGCGCTCTCGGTGGGAACTCTGTCCCCGGCCAAGGGTTAGCAGGGCAGAGGCCAGGCGCCCCACCTACTAGCCGCCCCCGAGGGGAGCACGCCGCACCCCGGGATCGGAACTGGGGAGGGGGTGCAAAGGCAGAGATGCGGCGGACTTTCCGCGCCTTCCCTAGGCCTCGACGAGTCAGAACAAACCCGGCAGGGCTCCCCGAAACTCGTCAGCAGGCCGGGACAGCGCTCGCGGGCTCTTCTCGCTGCGGCAGGCTACAACGGACAGCGAGACCAGCGCTAGCGTGCCTGAGCCCTTAGTCCAGCAGCCTGATCGCCTGGTACTCAGCTCTGAACCGGCTCGCGGACAGGTCATTACGAGATCCGAGCTTCCTTCCCCCTCCTAAAGAATGCGAATTCGTAAGGAAAGACAAGCCTAGCGCAGCAGTCCTCCATCTGGCCACGCGATTGGGTCCAGGACCCTCCCCCATGCACACACACCACGGACTGCAAAACCCTCGGGTCCGCAGGTCTCGCACGTAAAAGGGTTCAGTATCCGCGCAGGACCCATCCCCCCTCCCATTGCTTTCAGACGGCCCACAATAGCTATTTAAACAGATGTGACCGCTGTGTTTAGGAAGCAATGACAAAGTTTGTACACGATCAAGACGCGTTTTCCCTGAGCTTGTTTTCTGACTTTCGTTTTGTTCAGAAAGAGTACAGTTCAGGCGGGCTAGCCTCCACATAGTAGGGACCCTCCAGTCTCCGGCTTCCTGTGCTGGAGTTAAGGTGTCCACCACCAGGCTGGACTATTCCAAACACTTCCACAGAAGCAGAACATGAAAGCGGAGGGACCAACTGCAGTTCCTTACTGCAAAAAAAAAAAAAAAACCTTAAACTCTCTTTGTTTTTGAGAAAATGAATTTTCATTGCTTTTACATTAAGACCAGCTGACTTTATTTACTTTCACCTGTCTGTTCTGCCGCTGGGGATCAGTCGGAAAGCATGCCTGGCTGACAGTCTACACTGAACCACAATCCCAGCCTCAAACACTGACTTCAGATGAATCTACTTCCACAAAAGTCAGCTGCCGTCAGATTAGCTACTGGTTCTCAACGCTAAATGGAGAACAAAACACCTGTTTTCAGTCCCCTCTCAAGAAAAAGAGGTTCCTATTCACAGGCAGGGCAAATACTGTGCGTGTGTACCACTGAGTCAAGCGCTAGCAGAAAAGGCAACTTAAAGGTTATTACTAGGTTTGGCTGAATATGGTTTTGATAAAACCAGCTGTTACAGTGGCATAGTGCAGAGGTGTAATGGGTAAGATCAGGGGACAACCAGCATGGTAAAGAAAACAAAATTAAGGAAAAACTTAAGCTTTCTGCTCCAGCCCCAAAACCCTATGGAAAGTCAGCTGCTGCATGTAATGCTGTCATGTATTCAAGGTAGCAACTGAGAATCCCAATTTTGGTTTTTAGGCAAAGGCATAGGAAAGGAAAAAGAAACGGGGGAGAAGGAATCGCCTCCAGGGGCTGCACCGAATGATGCCTATGCTGGCTGCCTGTCCCTGGCATGTGAGCAGTGAGGCTGCCCATGACATTCAATTAAGCAGCAAGGCCTGGATCTTCGGCCAGGTGAGCCTCTGTAGGCTCACGAGGCAGCGCGGCCTTAGGACATCCACAAACAAAGCAAAGACGACTGGACCTAAGATGGGAAACTGAAGCCAGGGCGTTACCTCAACTCTGCACTTTCCACACATCCTTACATAAGTATGTCAAAGCATCTTCATATCCCTACTACAATAAACTCTAGGTTTTGTTATCTCAACAAAAAACACAATACTGAACCATCCTTATGACTCCTACCTGATGCTGCATGTTTCTGGAAGTTTTCAAATTCAGTGAAAAGTAAATAAAGCCAGCGTCAAAAGAAAAGTAGTTACTTTAATAAGTAAAAGGCATAAAAAACTGTATTTCCTATCTGATTGGTTTTATTTAATAATCTTTAAAGGATGAATCATGTAAGAAAGCCCCAAAAAAATGCCTTTCAGAGTGTAACAAAAAAGCCATTTGAGAATAAGCTTTTGCTCTCACAGGCTCCTGGCACCCGAGTATGGAACAGAAAACGGAGCTGCGCATTCACAGCTCACTGCATTGCTGATCCTGCCGGTGAGCAAAGTGTAGGATTTCCCAAAACAAGGTGCCCGACTGCAGACTGCAAGTCCCAGGCACATGGAGGCAGGACACCATTCTTGGGCCTTCCACACGGCCACTGTGTTCCTGGAATGCCAGGCTTGGGAACAAATCACACTGTGACAGGCTACAAGTGAATGTTTTTCCCCCTAATGAAAAATAGCATTGTTGGGGCCAGGGAGATAGCTCAGTAGAATAAGCGCTTTCTGGGCAAGCACAAGGGCCTGAGTTCAATCCCCGGTTCTGTCAAAAAAAAAAAAAAAAAGCATTGTCTAAACAGTGATCTTCCAGATTTAGGATTTTTCTGGAATAGGAATACAGGTAGACCATCCTTAATGTGAAACCTAAAATGCCTCATAATTTGAAGCTTTCTGAGCTCCATCATGAAATTCCATAGTTGACCCCATGTGATGGACGGACAGGTACAACTACACTAAAAGTATCACACAGAATTACCTTTGGTCTACACACATAAATATGTGTGAAACTTAAGTGTGTGCACACACTTGGTCTCTTCTCCAGAGCATCCCGTTATATAAATGTAAACATTCCAAAATCTGAAATCCATACACTTCCAGTCCTAAGCATTTCGGAAAAAGAGACTCTTAATCTGTATTGTACAAATTAATCCTTGTTCTTGCTTAGCTCAAAAAACAAATGATTAGGGTAAAAAGGAGTCTTTTTGAAGGAAATACCGGCAGGAAGAAAAGAGGCTCAGCTACACAGGCACCACAAGGACGCCTAAAAGGGAACTTCAGCTTTATTCTCAATTTCCACCAAAGCAACCCCCATAAGTTACCTTTCCTTTTTTTTGTTTGCACAGGGTCTTGCTATGCAGTTCAAAATGGGCTTGAACTCAGTATGCAGCCTAGGATGGTCCAAACTCCCAGTGACCTCCTGCCTCAGCCTCCTGAGTGGACAATGGGTGTGTACCACGATGCCCAGGTAAACTACCCCTCCTATATGAGAATCTTCTTAAGTTCCAAACTGTGAACTGCTTCTAAAATGTAGACGCTAGTATGTCCATAGAAGAAATAAGATCTGTAGAAGTCTGTCTATGGGAAGTAGAAAGCCAGCAATGGTACTTTTAGGGTTGTGCAGAGAAATGTCAAACATACACACATTTCTGTCCTTCCAGCTTTAAAAAAAAAAGGCGTTTAAAGAATAAATGCAAACCACGGATGGTGGTACAAGCACTCAGGAGGCTGAGGCAGGACTGCTGTGAGTTCAAGGTCACCCTGAACTGCACAGTAAAATCCTTTCTTAAAAAGACAAAAAATTGGGGGCCTGCCCCTCTGCTCAGTCCTTTAAGTGGCTGCTTCAACAAAGCAGTCAGGCTCAGGTTGCTGTGGTTTGATCTCCACAACTCAAGCCAGCCAAACCTGCCCTGAAGGCATTCGGAGAAAAAAAAAGAAAAAAGGAAAGACAAAAAATTGGAAAAAAAAAAAAAAGTGGGAGTACAATTCAGTAGCACAGCGTTTGCTTAACATGTGCAAGACCCAGGAGTCCATCCTTAGCACTACAAAAACCAAACCAAGCCAAAGTAAAAACAAAGTAAAGGAGAGTGGGAAAAAAAAAGATAAAGAGCAAACAAAACAAGGTCTTCCTGTCCCTACTCAGTGCTCCTGCCCCAGTCACATCTGGGAGGCAGAAAAACTTCCTTCACACATGAGCTGACGCAGCAGCGCACACAGTACACAGCGGGAGTTGAGCTGTAGCGCGTTTTTTTATAAATTCTAGATTTAAAGATCAAGTTCTAATTCAGTAAGTATGCATCAAATTCTGACCAGCTGGGTCAGAAGTACAACAGTGTGCTGACTGGGTAAAGGAGGCAAGTGCTACTCAAAAGGGCTGGGGAGACAGCTTGGTGGTCGAAGCACCTGTCCGGCAAGTGCAAGGACCCAGGTTCAATGCCCAGTACCACATGCGTGCTGGCCTGGCCCCGCCAGCCATGGAAACCGGGTGGTAGTGCACATCTGTAATCCCACCCCTGGGGAGGCTGAGACAGGAGGGCCACTATGGGTCTGGGCTGTATAGCAAGACCCAATACCAAAGAAATAAATAATCAAAAGGGAGGGAGTGTCTATCTGGAATTTCCTACTGGTCCTGGCTGGCCTGGCCCACCCCTGCAATGCTCCAGCTGAGGCACACAGCCCAATTCAGGTCACAGTTTCACCAGAAGATAAAGATAAAATACAAACAAACGGAAGAAATTACTCTTACCCAATCAACAAAATTTATTCAGTAGAACTAACAACAGAATTCTCCCAACATACTCACTAAGAAACTTAAAAATAATAAAGTCAATGGAGATTGACATATAGGTATTTACTACCAATCAGTGCTAGTGACTGTGAGTAGAAACCAATATTGGATTTGCAAATCATCCTGAAAAATCAAGTTTGCTTGGCCAAATCTCTTTGAAAGTCTGGGATACTGGAAAATAGAGGTTCATCGTTTGGATTTGTAGCATAAAACACAATCATCCACCAAAACCAAACATGCTTCTGTAAAATATGGCTGATGCACTGGTATTTCTGCATTCTATAACCTGAATATTGGGAGCACCATTTTATTTTCAAAATGTCTTTTCCTTTAAAAAACTCATTAATGTTCTTTTTAGACATATACCCTTAATACCACACTTTCAAAACAAACAACTCCTCGGGTTCAGAGCCACACTGGCTCCTGAACCTCGGATGAGCAGACCTGGGGGAGGGGTTAGCTTCGCACACAGTGCAGGTGATGACCCTGGAAAGTGACGTCTTGGTCCGCCAGGAGGCTGCCCCTGAGGGTGACCAGTGTGGCTGTCCCTGGGCCCCTCATCTCTTTTCACCTGTCGTTGCTGCAGACACCCTCCAAGGAGACCTCACACACACCTGGCTAAGGGTGCCCTGACCTCTAGCTGGATGCTCTTAAACCCTAATACGTGCAAAAGTGACTTCCCATTCTGACCAGCCTGCAAACCCAGGTCCTTCCCTGGTGTTCGCTATCGGGTGGATGATCCCACCCTACAAATCCAGATGCTAGAGGTCTAGAAATGGCCCTGCGCTCCTCAGTCACCTCACCTACCCCGCCAGTGCTTCATGTGACCCCTTCCCTCCACAGCTCTTGCACAGCCCTAGCATTTTCCCCTCACCCAATTATTGCAATTGAACCTCTCTCATCCCACCAAGTCACTCAACTCCTTGCCTGTCACCAACACCTCAAGTGCTAGTTTTGCTGACCACCCCTGCCCCCTGCACCTTCCTGCTGGCACGACACGACTAATCACAGCTTCTTGAAACTCTATCCTCACCACTTTGGGGAGCGCCTCCTAAGCCTCTGGTTCCCTGCAGAGCTCTCTGACCACATCTCTGGTGCCTCAGTTGGTGACCTCCTCCTCAGAGACTGTATGTGGCCATTCTTAGCTCAAGGTTTAATCCACTCCTATTTCTAGGTCTCTCTAATTGTATTTACCAACTGTCTGTTATTTTTCTCTCATTGCTGGGATAAAATACCTGACACCCAAAATTAAGGAAGGAAAGGTTTAATTTAGCTCAGTTTGTGGAGGTTTCAGTCCATACTCACCTGGCTCCAAGGCAGACTGGCACATGGCAGAGGGCAGCAGTTCATGGTGGTTGGAAAATAGCAAAACAGCAAGAGCAAAAGGGAAGGGTAGCAGCAACAGTGGCAGCAGAGCAAGTCTGTCTCCCTTACGTTGCATTCAGGTATCCATCCCAGGCAGGGTGTAGCACACACACCCATAATCCCAGCAGACTCACACCCACACACATAATCCCAGCATTGGATCAAGAAAGAATTAATCACAATTCTAGAAGTCCGCCCGGCTCTGTGACTGCATGAGGCTTTGAGGGGACCACTAGACTCAAACTATACACCAACTTTCAGGGTCAGTTCCAATCTTTCTCTTGAGGTTTAAATACATCCCATAGGCACCTCAACTTCAACATGACCACAGGGAGTTCGCCATCTTTCCCTCCCCGTCTCATCTCACCTCCTCCTTCTTCAAGGCCGCTCCTCTCCGTGGGCACTACCACTGGCCCAGCCAGGCTCCACACGTGAGCATGGTCCTGGACCACCCCCTCCCCAGCCTGCCAATTTCCCATGTAACTGGAGGTTTCCTTTTCTGTTTTTGCTATTGCGGCTTCTGGTTAAGGGCCTCAGTTCTGCTCACTCATTTATTCCTTCATCTACTACACGCATTTATGTCCAGGCTCCCACTATGTGCTGGTGCCTCAGCTATACCCAGGCAAGTCGCTGCCCTCAAGAAGCTTACACTTTCATGGCGAATCATGGCCACCTTCAGGCATCGTGACGAGAATAAAATGCAAAGAGCTATAAACGCAGACTGTAACCAGACACTAGGCGAGCACAGGCGAAAGCACTCTGTCCTGCTCCCTTTATGGATCACTTACCAAGGAAGCTACGATTCTGTTGAGCAGCTGCGGGAAGCCTCTTACACAGGGCTCACGCATCAGGCCCAGAGACAAGAAGGTTCGGTGAATGGAGTCCCCAAAGGTCTCTTAGAGACAGCTGGAGTGCAAAGTGCGAGAACCTAAGGCGTGAGACTTTAGCTGTACTCACTTAAGCGGGCAACTGGAGAGCCCTGAAGGGTGTCAAGAAGACAGGAGAGATGAAGAGCATCCTGGCGGCGGTGGCTTAGCAAGGGAGCCAGCCAGACCTTGGAGGAAGGCGGGCCAGACAGATGCAGGGGCAACCCAGGAACGCACCGCGGCCTCAAGCGTCAAAGGCTGGGAAACGCTAAGCAAGGCCAGGTTCTGGGCAGATGAGCAAGTGGAGGAGGATGAGCAGAGCAGCTTCTCTCAAGCGTCAAGCTCTCCCGTTGGGAGATCCCGGGCACGCTTTCTGAGCGGCAATAAGGCAACTGTTTACCCAGGGTTAAGCACTACACAAGATGTCACTATTGGCTGTACTGCATCTGCGTTTAAACAGGCTTCGTTTCAGAAGTTTTGGGCCTGGAGAGTGAATTCATTCAATTCATGGAAATGTACACTGCCACTGTCACTGTCACTGTCCAAACACTTTCTGAGAGAAAGTCAAAACTCGCTTTCTGAAGACTCAGCTTTTGAACTATTATGCTAAACCACTAAACCGCCTCGCCCCAACTTCTAAACACTTCTTCCTGAAGCACTTTCAAAATTCTTAAGTCTACAACCACACTGCAAACACGGAGTTGGCGTCTTTCTCAAGCAAAGACAACAGCAGGCAAATAAACAGGC